AAAATGAGAGATGTATGTTTTATTTGTCAATTTTTAGAAAACCAATGAAAAGAAAATAAGAGATGATGCAGAATTCAAGATTTGAAAACTTAGGAAAAATTCGAAAACAATACTGATATGTTTGAAAAAATAAATATTGGAAAAAATTGGGTTCAAAAAATAAGTACTACGATGTTTTGACATTTCTGCACTACTTTTTAATATCTTATAAAACCTTCTATTGCATTTGAATATGTGATAGAAAAACTTAGACAGTGTAATTGTAATCAGTGATCTGAAATTTTCAAGATAAAAAAACTTAATACAGTCAATATATAGATATTAATGAAGAAAGTAATCTCATTATCCACGGAACACAATATTTACTTAAACACGAGTTAAAGTACAGTTTTGATGATAAGCAGAAACATCTTACTAAATTTACAAAATGGAGATTCTCTAATATAAATTATAAGGTCAAATACTTATTTAAGGATACAGGTAAAAAAATTGAGAACAAACATAAGAAATTGCATTTTAAATTGATAAACATAGATTAACAATAGATCATATAAAAAATGTATTAACATTAATTTAAAGTTTATTTTAATAAAAGAAATATGTGAACACTTGGACATCTTTAAAATGTGATAATACAAACAAATATTGAGAATTTGAGGATTTACTATAAATTAATAAGTAATGTCTAGAAAAAGAAACAGAAATATTTAAATTATAAAATAAATAATTTATATTATGAAAATTATTCAAGGCAAGAGTGAAGAAAAATATAGTGTGAAAGTCACAAATAAGATAGTCATAACATTTTTAATAACAGACAGATAACAGAGGAATTCAGATACTAAGAACATAATAATAGGTAATATATTTACAAATATCACATAAATATATAAAAAAAACCAGCACAGTGGGGTGGTGGCACAGTGGGGTCGTGGCATAGTTGGGTCCAGTATAGATGATATCTGACAGTGATTAAAATCACTATCATAAAAAACGCTTCGATGCAAATCTGTAGATAGTGTTTAATTAAAAAAAAAAATTTGTTAAAATAGCATATTTTTAATATGGTAGCCATTTGCGCATAGAAGATAAATTGTCGGGACAAATTTTTTTTTTTCATTTTATAGTACATAAAATAAGCTTTAATTTGATATATGTTTGAAGGACGCAGTATTTCTGGAACATTTTCAAAAATTAAGTTTAAAAAGTTAATTTTTGTAAAAAAGTTGCTATTTTAAATCCCCCCTTATGAGCAGGTTAAGTGATAGATTTTCAAAAAAATGATATCAAATGAAAGGTAAATATCTAACGTTTTAGTATAAAAAAAAATTATGTTGATTTTTCAAAAAGTTATGGAAGTTTTAAGAAAAAAAAGTGAAAAAATTTCGAAAATTAGCGATTTTTAAATTTGTAATTTTTTTGGATATTTCCCCCATTTGCGGGAAACGAGGAAATTTTTTTCAATTTTTAAGGGTAATGTCTTCAACTAGATACCATTTGTGATCTTTTGACACATTTTTGAAAGAAATCGGTCCAGTGAGAGCTGAGAAAATGTGGCAACAGACATAAAAAAAAAAAAAACACATAGTAAAATTAATACCTTCTCCACTTCGCATCAAAGCTAAAATATATAGATAAAAGGGTGTTAGCTTAAACATAGTGATACTTGAATAACGCTAATAATAAGGAAATAATTAAAGAAATATGATCTACAGGTAGCTTCAAAATAAAAATCAACGAAATAATAAAACATTTATAATGAACAGTTATCATAAAATGTGGTTGAAAATAATCTTCACTAATTATTTTTCACTCATTCTAATTGATTAATTTTAACTTGATTATTAATTTTGTAACAACTCAAAATCCCCCAGTGGTTGGAGTTAGAATAGATAGGTTTTCCCTGCCTGCCGTAAGAGGTGACAAATGGAACTTGTAGTAGGACAGCAGCTCTTACAATATTGAGTATAGGTGCAAGTAACCTCTTTAGAGGTAGAAACAAACAGTTACACATCAAACAAAAACCAGCAGATATGGCAGCCATTTAACTAATGGTAACACTGCGATGCGATAGGCAAAAAGGAGCCACCACATCAACATTCCTCAATAACAGCAACGAACATGACATTTTCTCAAGTAAAAGATTTCAGAGGTAAAATAATCCCCCATTCAGATCTCCAGTTGGGGACTACTAGAGAGGAAAGAATGATCAAGGGAGGTAGATGAAATAGAAGAATAACAACCTGGAATGTACAAACACCCTACTACAATGCAGTTAACTGGATAACCTAAAAAAGAAATGGCAAGGATGAACATCGATTTTCCGGGAGTTTCAGAAGTAAGATGGTCTTGAGCTGAAGATTTATAGATTTACATACTCAGGTACATCAGTTGAAAATCCTAAATGGGGAGGAGTAGGCATAATGCTTTGAAAAGATATTAGAAAGAAAGTAAAAAGTTACATTCAGTATAGTGAAGGGATTATTCTTGTCATAATAGAAACCAAACCAAAAGACACTATATTACAAGTTTATATGCCAACTTCCAGCAGTAATGATAGCCAAGTAGAAGAAGTATACGAACAAATGGAGAAAGCTATTGTAACAGTTAAAGGAGAAAAAAATCTAATCATTATGGTAGACTGGAATGCAATAGTAGGAGAAGGAAAAGGAAAAAAAATATCATGGGTAAAAATAGCCTAGAAAAAAAGGATGATCGTAGAGATAGGTTAGTAAAATTTTATGCAAAACATGACTTGATAATAACGAATACATGCATTATCATCATTCAAGGAGAAGGTACACAAGGAAAATGCCAGGATGTAGGAAGGTACCAAATAGATTTCATTATGGTAAAAAATGGATTTAAAAACCAAGTCAAAGACAGTTTGAGTTATCCTGGTGCGGATAGACAGCGACTACAATCTTGTTGTGAGGAAATTTAATCCTAAATTCAAAAATATTAAAAGAAGAGAAAACACTTATCAATGGCAAACCAATAAATTAAAAGAAGAAAAAGTAAATGAAAAGTATAAAAAATACACAAATAAAATAAAAATATAACAGAACATAATCACTTGAAGAACATCCCTGAGAAAAGCAACTACAAATTCAGCAAATTAAACAGAAAACAAAAACCTTACTACCAAGGAATCAATGGATAACACAAGAGATTATTGAAATGATATAAGAGAGAAGAAAATATAAAAACTTAAATACTGATGAATATAAGAGAACATACAGGACTCTAAGAAACTTAATTATAAGGAAATCAAAAGCAGTAAAAGAAAAATATGACGAAATAGACATTTTGATAGAATAGGCAAGAGAGAAGAAGCATAAAAAACAGTATAAGTTCTTTGAAGTATGTACACCCAAATGTGGAACAATAGAAAACAATGGAAAAATCGTTGATGAACAAGAACAAGTTGTAGATAGATAGAAAGAATACATAGAAACAATGTATGATGAAGAACTAGTTGTTATAGATTTAGAAAAAATAAATGATATAGAGCAAGAGTATGTAGAATTCCGGTATTAAGAGAAGAATGACAAAGCATAAAGATACTTAAAACCAAAGAAAGTAGCAGGAATAGATAAGATTCAAGCCGAGCTTAGGAAGGAAGCAGGAGAAAATATGGCGAATGAATTATTTAAACTTATTAGAGATATTTACAAAACGGCGGATACTACTTACCAACTTCGTAAAGAGTATAATTATTCCCATTCCAAAGAAGATATCAGCTAAAAAGTGTGAATATCAAACAATTAGCTTGCTCTCACATGCCTCAAATATTTTAACAAAAATTATGTATATGAAAATGGAAAAGAAGATAAAAGAAATATTATTAGAGGACCAGTTTGGATTTAGGAAAAATATGGGTAAGAGAGAAGCGATATTAACTTTACGATTAATAGTGGAAAAAAGAATATGGAAAGATAAGTCCACGTTTATTGCCTTTGTTGACATTGAGAAGGCATTCGATAATGTTAAAAATGCTGAAATGAGCTGGAATTGCAACCACGGAAAGAAAATTGATATATCAATTGTATAAATATAAAAAAAGCTATCATAAAAATGGGAGATATTCAAAAAGAGTTCAAAATAAAGAAGTGTTAAACAAGGATGTACATTATCACCTGTAATATTTAATGACTACATTTAAGAGAACATAGAAATTATAATAGAGGACACAGCTAGGAATAACAGTAAATGGTCACAAAATAGACATGCCGAGATTTGCAGATGACATTGCAATAAAAGCAGAGAATGAAAAAGATCTAAAAAAGATTTTATGAGAATTGGAACAGGTGATGGAAAAAGATTTACATATAAAATAAACACAAAGAAGACAAAAGTCCTAGTATGTAGTAGAGACAATAACATAAGAATAAAATTAAAGGATGATGAAACTATAGAACAAGTAGAATATTTCATATAGTTGGATAGCACTATAAGCTAAGATGGGAGATGCAAAAAGGAAATTATAAATAGAATATCCCAAGCTAAGGTGGTATATTTAATAAGAAAGGAAGTCTTTTTACTTCAAAAAAGATTGACCTCAATATTAAAAAGAATCTACTAAAAATGTACATCTGGAGCATCATATTATATGAATGCGAAACATGAACTATTGCAAGAGAAGAAATGAGAAGAATAAGGCATTTGCAATTTGGTGCTACAGGAAGACAGAAAAAATAAATTGGACTGATAGAATTACTAATGAAGAAGTTTTAGAAAGGGTATCTGAGAGAAAATTAAGGGGTATTCTAGTCTAGAAATTTAAAAAAATCGATTTTTTTTTTTATATATATTTTCAAAGTTTAACTATTCAAGAATATGTCTACAAGAGGATTTTTCAAAAATCATTAGGGATTCTCTGTTTACCTGAATCCATACTTCTCAATAAACCTTTTATCCCTTTGTATATATATACATATATATATTGTAATACAAGAACCCAAGGTGACTTGTATCGTTTATATTTAGTGTACACTTACATCCAGATGCTAATAGTTGAATTCTAACCTTCAAACCACGTGGACGCATATACTGCAAGTGAAATAAAAATATTATGAAATATTTTTTTTAAATAAAATGGATAAAAAATGCTCAGCGCAAAAGATTACACATCCAGATCCACAAAAAAAAAAGGCGAAAAAAAAAGAAGACACCAATTTTATGAGTACATCAGCAGCAAAATTAAGTAAATCAAATACTGAAGAGGTGATCATTAAAAATAATTACCGCTACTGTGTTTTGGAGTTTTTTTAAGATTTTTTCAGCTATTTCTTCTTTAATTTTGTGTACTACATGCAAAATGAGATTAAATTTTCACAAACGCCTTATTGCGGACTAGGTTTTAAAATTGTATTACAATGTGGTTGAGATAGTGTACAATATATACCATCATGTCCATTCGTCGACAAATCCTTTGAAGTAAACCGAAGAATTATATTTACTATGCGGCTTTTGGGAGTTGGTAGGGAAGGAATAAATATCTTCTGCAGTATGATGGATATTTGTCAAGGATTAGCAATCGATACATACTACGGTTGTGTCAAAAACATACATTTGGCCGCATCTACAGTTTATGATCTTATTATTTCCAAAGCTGTAAATGAAGAAAAAGATTTAATTTTAGCTAGTGATCACTAATGCTTGTCCAACGGATTTTACTTTGAATTTTACAAACACCCCGATTGACCACTCAGAGATACATGCATCCAACGCATCAATGGCCTGAACTGCTCAATATGAAGAGAGAAACGCAGAAAGTAACTTTTTGAAGTCGTAGAAGGTCCAATGTATAAAACAGGAATGACAAATTGAATAAATGTAAGTCTAAAATATCATTTCATGACTGCGAAAAACTTTACGCGAAACTTTAAACGCGTTTTTCTAGAAACTGACTTTTAAAAGAATACCCACGATTTCTCAGGTTCTACTGGACCGATTTACATGAAATTTTTGGAGAATCTTCTTTATAGACTTGCTTATGTTTGGAACTATCCCCATTCCTAAATTTCAATTTTTACTATTTGTAAAAAAATTCGAAACAGTCAAAATACGTGGTACAAAATTTTTTTTTTTTTCAGTCTCCATTTTGTGAAAAAAAATTTTTCCAACATTTCCGTAGTTCCAGACATTACGACATTATTCTAGATTAATTATCTTTTTTTTTTTTTGGTTTCAGATTGCTAGGAGGCTTGAAATCGTGGGTATGACCACGTGCCAAATTTTTGAGGGCCCCCACTTCATCAGCTGTTTTATTTTGAAATTTGTAACATTTTTTATTGTTTTTCTGTCTTCCTGTAATGTTAATAAATAACTAATAAAAAAATGGATAGTAAAAATATTAATTCCCTTTTTTTTATGACACTTCAAAAATTACCTGAAATTAATGCCTCTAGACTAGATTACTACCTTAATATGGAAAAGTATACAAAAAAAAGCAAAATTAATTAATATATTATTATACTTTAAGACACAATGGGTTGCTATTATTAATTTTAGAAGGAATAATCAATGGCAAAAATCATAGAGGAAGACCAAGAATACAATACATAAGTCAGATAGACTTAAGAAGATGACGGATGTAATTTATATCAAGAGTTGAAGAGAAAGACTAGTGATGGAGAAACATGGAATTTGCTACAAACCAATCATTTTAATTAAAAATAAGTAATAATTGATAACTTTTAGATGAAATTAGAAATTAAAGTAACTGTGATCAAACATTGTAATACTTGTCAAAATTAAACTAGTTTACTAAAGAAGTGAAATAATATTAAATATAATAACTTTTATTAAAATAAAAACTAAAATGAAAATAGTTATTTTTAAATGAAGTAATAATAAATAGTCTCTATAATTTTCAAATATTTATTTTAACAACTAAAACAATATATTATTTAAATGAAATACAAGCTAAAAAACGTATATTTAAGTTAACTTAGCTTTAAACTATATGATATTATCAAGATATTTTCATTATGAATATTAAAGATTAATATAAAGACAAATATAGGAAATGTTTATCAATATGAAGATACAATATTAATTAAGTAATTAATTAATATTTAACACAATAAATATGTTAACATAAATGGTGAATTGAACATAGAAAATAGAATGTAATATATTAAGCAGATCAATTTGACTTAATTAAAGTTAGACAGATTAATTACACAGACCAACAATGTAAAAAATTTTTTTTTATCTTATTCTTATATTTTTTAGGATGCCGAATATAAATATGTTACTTAAAAAACTATATCACCTACTATTTCTTCACATTTTATAGTTTAATTTATTAAATTAAGTGATTTTTAAAGAACTGAACAGATGTTATATAATTAAAATAATTAAAAAAATGATTGGATGTAGATAATGTTGGTAGCACTGCTGAAATACATGATCTGATCAAAAAAGGTTGTTTATTCTATGTTTTTGTTAAATGCTTATGTTTTGTTTACTGTCAAGCTAACTTCATTTTCATGTTTCATAAACATTTGCTCAGTACAAGGTCTACTCGCAGTTGTAAACACTGCTGATAGTTTTTGTTATATTTTTTCAAGACATTAAAGTGACAGAAAAACGCTACCAGGGCCATTGGAACACCAGAATGATGGGGACTACTGTTGGTCACTTCATTGAGAAGTTCAACAAGCATAATTTATCATAGAAAATATAACGCAAAAAGTTTAAAAAAAAAAACCAGTGCAAATCAAATTCAGCTGACAAATGAAACCTGTGTTATATCTTTGTTTTAAGTAGCTTATTGTAATTACAAACCACGCTAATGATGTAATATAGTACTTCATTGATTTCACCATATACTGTATAGAGGTTTTATACTATATAATAATAAAAAAATTGTTTCATAACATGGGCAATACAAAAAAACTAGATTTAGATTCAACTCACAAAAATCTCCAAGATCAGCTAATACAGCAAGTTTTCAAAAATTATTTTTTTGTCGACCAATGTTATTTAAATTAAAATAATTTAAAAAGCACATTGAAACATAAAACAACTCTCAAAAAGAATTTCATAATATATACAATACAAAAAACTAATATATTTTCGTAGGAGAAATTCTTATGACTTCAATTTGAAAAAAAAAACCATTATTACGATGTCAAATAAAAAAAAAAAAAGGAAAGCAAAAAAAACGATACTACTATGAATAAGTAGATATCACTGTTTAGAAAATAGAAGTTTTGAAATATAAATTTACTACACAAAATAAATTTAAGAAAATGAAAACATTGTTTTTGGGAAATGATAGTCAAAGCAAGAGAAAAATTATTTACATTAATAATTTTATTAATGTAAATGTAAATTAATGTTGATTAATCAACAAGTTATATGAAACCTCCAATTAAATTTACTAAGAAAATAAAATAAAGATATTACAAACTAAGGAAATTGTAATTGTCAAATAAATACTGTTTTTAACATATCTTATATTTTTTATATACTTATCCTCTTGAAGTATTGTTCCATCACCTGCATCATTATTACGCAAATACATGATATAAAAAATCTCTTGTATTTTATTCTTCAATATTCTATTTCACAAAAAAAACATTAATTATACAAAAAAAAGTTGTAAGCTAATTTATGACTGTAAAATAAGGTATTTATTGCTCACTTTCATACCAATTTACTATTACTAAAAACAACTGTCATATTGTATTTGTCACAGAAGTAATTCCATAAAATAATATTGAATAAAAATTTATTGTTCCAAATATATATATAACTATTATTATAAGGAATACTGGTTTTTGCTAATTTTCTCCATCTAAATCATACTATAAAATTGTAAATAAATTAAAAATTACAAATTTACAAAAATTTCAAAAAGAGGTAAAAAATTAATTTAATATTACAACAATAATGAGATTGTAAAAAATGTTTTTTTGATTCTTCAAATTTATCATTCGACTGTTACAAATTTATACATTTACTTTCCTTAAATTATAAAATGAAACTTTTACATTTTGTTGGCAAATCAACTCTAACAATTTTGGTTTTCATTATTACCTATTAGAATTACATAACTACTAGATTTATTGGTTATAACGAAACGTTAATAAAGTATAAAAATTAAGCTTTTTAATTATTTTACTATTATTAATATTTCATTATTACATCTAAAATATATTTATTAGCAAATAAATAAATAAATACATTTTAAATAAATAGATACTGCAAGCAATATTACAAATTAAGATGTACTAGAAAAAAAAAAGAATAAATAAATTTTAGATATTGTAAATTATGAAAAATTTATTTAGGTTGAATAGTGTGTGCAAAAAATGCTTTTACATTTTCATAATGCATAATTACTCCAATTTACACAACTACTACAACAATAGTTGTTTTAATTAGAAAAAATAATATTACACAAACCTATTGAAGTATAAATACAAAAACATCTTACAAGAGTCTTAGTATGAATTGTCATAATTTTCATTTTTCATCAACTCATTTTGAATAAGAAATACATATTTAACGTTTTAACAAAAACATTATTCTAGTTATATTCATCTGTAACTGACTCAAAAATCATACAACATTATATAAAATAAAATAAGTTTTAGACCTACTCTACAAATTCAACATAGTAATTTAACAAAATTATGTTTAGGCTGAATAGTGCATGCAAAGAATGTTTATATATGCATCTACTCTTCGATAATTCTTAATTTCTTTGATTTATACTACAGTTTATTTTATGAAATAAATTTATCAGGAAAAAAAAACTTATTTAAACATAGTAAATTATCATAATTAAGTTTAGGTTGAATAGTGTGTACAATGAATGTTTAAATACGCATCTACTCTTCCATAATCTATAATCTTTCCAATTTATATAACTACTACAATAAGAGTTTATTTTATGAAATAAAATTATCAGAAAAAAGAAAATTTGTAAATTATCAAAATTATGCTTAGGTTGAATAGTGCATGCAAATAATGTTTATATATGCAACCACTCTTCCATAATCCATAATCTTTCAAAAGAAACCAAAAACTAACTTTAATATTTTCTCTAGAAATCTAAACTAGTTATTTCAGTAATTATTTCATATAAATAAGAACCAAATCATTCATTTCTTTTAATTAAAAAAAAAAAAAAATTATTTATTTAATTATTTATCTAATAGTTATTGCTATTAGATGTATATATGCTATTTTAATACTTTATGTATATAAAAAACAGTATCGTTCGATATTTTGCAAGCAATTTATTTTAAAAATAAGATATTAACTTTAATTACTAAGTACAACTAAGAACAAGTGTTTTCATGTTAGCTTTGACACTTATTAAATAATACCATTCATATTATGAGTGTATTTTGAAACAAATGATATAAAAGAGTTTTAATAAATCTTAACAAAATTTTATGAAAACTGAAATAATTGTATATAAATAATTTATTCAAAAACATCTGAAAATACTTAATAGTGCATATAATTAGTAATCAATACTTACGAGGGAAATATTAGTTTGTAAAATAAAATAAGGATCTTTAAAGGTAATTACAACTTTAATAATATATCATAATTATTAAAAAAATAGTTTGTTTTGCTAAAACCACACACGAAAAATTTCTGTCACACAACAAGAATTTGGTTGTAAAATATTATTGGCTTTTAAAGCTACGCACGACCGAAACGCACGACCAACGGTAGAAAAATGAAACTCGTTTGGAGGAAAAACAAGACCGCGTGGCTATAATATACATAGAACGTAGATCTTGATGACTCATAATCGTTAATGTTATCTTTGTTATAACCTTAAAATTCTATTTTATTAAAATAAACTAAGAATCATAAAAATCATTTTAATTCCAATTTTATTTAACAAACTAAATAAATAACATAGGTAAAAATTTTAACTGTGTAGAATTGGTCCTTTATTAAATACAGTTTTCATTTATTAAATAAGTTATAGAAAATTAAAAAAATGAGTTTTTAGACTTGTATTGTATATATGAACCTGTAGGTAGTATGAGTGTTGTGCTTTTTTATTGGTTAAAAAAAATTATTGGCCAATCAAATTTCTTGAACAGTTGTTCAATCTTATTTATGCGTAAGATTCGAAAAATTGCTGCCGGTTGGAAGCAACCATCTTCTCTGGATTGGTATTATTAATATTTTATGAAGACTATTGTCATAGTCTATGATAAATGTTTCAAAAAACTTTTTTTTATTCGTCACTTTGTTTATAGCCATAATTAAGGCTAAAAACAAATTGATCATTTAAATGATAACCAATATATCTACTGTTCATAAAATTGGCCCGTATTTTGTGCATTAAATTATCATACTTTGTTTTTAACGACAATGTATAATTACAAAATAAATGTTAGTGTTACTGTAATTACCTTAATAATATCGAATCTGTGTATTTCTAAAAAATGTCTAGCATGGCATTTAATGAGATCATATTTTATGTTACTACTGGGTATTACATTAATACACAGTAGTAATCACAATAGATTTATTTTAACATGCATATGTTTAGGCCATAGGGCAGAGAAAATTTAGGTGGACCTGGCTTACCCTGCTACTAGTGATGGAAAAAATTACAGTAACAGTGATTTAATACAATTACAACTTGAGTAGTAATAATAATCTATTACTTGGAAGAAATAGTATTATTTAATGTTATTTTGTGTTTTACAAGAGGTGAATTCTTTTGATGATAAATTCTCCAATTTTCTACTGAGCCCAATGCTTAATAAGCAGGTTATTTCGTAATGAAACCTATACTCACAGTGACTTACATCAAACGTAAAATATAGATGGGCCAGTATAACAGCACTACGTATTTGATCCATTACTGGGTAATGCGTAAATATATACATATTTATACAATAATACACTACGGCCCGGTTGGATGGGTTTACACTTTCTAAAGGTGATAAGCTAAAAAAGACTGCCGGACGATAGTACAACCACCACAAATCGCATGAACTATTATAACTTCAGTACTCTTGTGTATTATATTATTATTTGCATGTGTATATACTCATCTATATACTGCATCTTTAAAACTCAATGACATAATTAATTTTTCTTTCTTTTTATTTACTTGGTGATAAATAAATAAAAATTTATATTTTCTCAATTATATTTAATACATAATAATTATTAATCGATAATTTTATCGATTAATAATAAGACACTCGTTTCCTTGGAATCTATTGATTAATTTTTAATTTTCGTAGAAGAAATAATATTATTGTAATGTTTATTTAATTAAATATTTTTTTATTTTACAAAAAGTAGAAATAATATATAAAAATATTATTTTAAAAAAAATTTATATTCAATGGTTTGCCCCTTTAAATATTTTTTATGTAGAGTAAGATGACAAATTCAGTATTTATCAAATCAATCAGTTTTAGCAGCTCACCCAGCTAACATAAAATCGTCTTACGATAAACTCAGTGGCGATTCGTAGTTTGGACGACGTGACGATGGCACCCCCTACTAAAATTAATAAAAAGAAGAAAATTAATTGTATATTCTTAATTCTAAATTTTTATTTACGACCGACAGCGTCGTCCATATGGTTAAATATTACTATATTGGGTATTTTATTGGTCGACCGTATGTTGATAATATTAAACCCAACCTACAAATTTTGTAGGTTTTGCTCTTTACTATTAAAATTTACATTTAATAATGTATGGGAGCCTATTGCCTATCCGAGCAACCCCTAAAAGCGGCCCTGTATACAGGATAGATTTGATAGAGGGTTTTATGGAAACTTGCCATATGCCACACATTTTTGGGATCTATGAATGTCAATTGAAAAAAAAAATTCAACCTCTTAAATGTTTTAATGATCTTCGTAAACCATAGATGTAACTATAGGGACTAAGTAACCCCTCCCCAAATCAAATTAGACATTATATTAACGGTGACATAAAACATTTATGAAGGAGTTTAATTTAAAAATATAGGGATAAAGGTTATGTTTTTACCCTTTATATTTGCAGAGGGCTACTTAAAATTGTTTATACTCCAATCATTTGAAAATGAAAGTTTAAAATATAATAATAATTTTTTAAGTTGTGAAATTCATAAATACATAAAACTGTTAATTAAAAATTGCTTGCAATATTACAAAATTAAATAAAATGTCATTTAAATATAAATAGAGAGAGATTGATTTATCATTGACCACTAAATTTCTACTGAAATAATAATTATCTAAAAAATAATTTTTTTGGCTTTGATAATTAATGTAATATTATTTATAGATCGTTAAATATGTTTTAGATCCGACCCTTATAATATTACTAAATTTAATTTATTAAATAGCTTATAAAATAGACAACTTTTTAATTAAGTAAATGACTGATCGATAAAAAATTTTAAACCACTACTGAGTAACTTATAAATATATTTATACTTAAGCGAGTAAAAGTATGCGATCGAAAATGTGTAATGATAAAATCCAATTACTTATATATTACAAAAGATCAATTATAAAGGATTAAATTGAAAACAAACTACACTAAATTAACGACAAATTCATTGATTAGTTAGAATTCGATGGACAGATATTTAAGAAAATTAATATTTAAGTTAATCGAAGTAAGTAGTAAGAGCGACAAATTAAAATAATCAGATGAACAAAACGGAAGTGTCATAAATGTATAGTACAATGAATATATTGCATGAGAGAATGTAAATCGGTTGGGGCAAACATTAAAATAGAAGAAATCAATCTTTACTAATATTTACTTAGTTGTGTTCTTTCGTGTCCCGCGGGTTAGAAAAAAATTCATAAGCAAACTGGCAACGTTTCTGTATAATTAAAAGGGACAGAATATTGAAATCATTTTCAACTTATGAATTCCATACGTTGCCAGTTTGCCTATTAACTTTTATTATATTCGAATTTGTCGCCGTTTTTAAAATATCTGTTCTATCTGCTGAATAGGTTGTTTGAATTTGTCGCTCTAATATACAAAAATTATTGCTATTAATAGACTGACCGGTTGAGTTATTTTTTTATTTGTTATTTATCACCTATTAGTATAGTAAATAAATTGCATTTATAAAATTTATGTTGGTTATTATGTCGACTTAGACAAATTTTGGTACAAATTATTCAAACACCACTTTCACTACACTAAAGTTATTGTTTTTTTAGCAGAAATGTTTGTTATGTTTGACCTAAGTTATCATTTTATTTTTTATTTTATTTGATATTGTTTATATAATATAATTTACAATAATTTAATTGGTAATGCATTCATTTAAATGCTAATAAGTTTTAATTGAAAATTTTAAAATATTAACTTTTTTTTAATTGTGAACTTTTAGATATATTAAACTTTTGTTATATTACAAAAAAAAATTAAATATGTTATTTAAATAAATTTACTGTGTGATTGATTTATTATTGACCACTAAGTTTCACCTAAAGTAACAATAATCTTAAAAGTATTTTTTTTGGCTTGGTTGAGTATTTTATTGATATTTTAATTTATAAGTGGTTAAATACTCTTAAGTTTGTCTTTTATCTCTTATAAGAGTCCCAACTTCATTTTTTTAGATGGCAACATACATTTTTATCTAAAAATTTAAAAAATGACTGAAATCATTGGACTAGTACTTCGAAAATTATTATTATTTTAATACTTGGCAGATGAACATGCGCGACCGAGACACATATAATAAAAAAAATAGTCATATCTGGTCACAAATATATTAGGGCAATAAATTAAAAACTACATAACATATTAGCGACAAATTCATTGATTATCTGTAATTTGATTGAGAGATATTTGAGAAAATAAATACTGAAGTCAATCGAGCTAATTAGTAAGAGCGACAAATTCAAATAACCGGTCGAACAAAGTAACATAAAAGTAAGAGTCATAAATATATAGTATAATGAATATATTGCATGAGAGAACATGACTTAGCGGCCGAATGGTAAGATAGGAAAAATTCTATCTTACTTAATAGTCACACAGTTGTGTGTGTTTCAAGGGCCTGCGGTGAAGAAATTAATTAATAAGCAAACTGGCAACATTGTTTTCACTTAGTCTGTATAATTAAAAGGGACAGAATATCGAAATCATTCCTAAAACTTATGAATTCCACACGTTGCCAGTTTGGCTATTAACTTTTATTATATTCGAATTTGTCGCCGTTTTTAAAATATTTGTTTCGTCCGCTGAAATCGGTTGTTTGAATTTGTTGCTCGAATATACTAAAATTATAAACGGGCGGTCTATTAATAGACCGCCCGGTTGGGTATTTTTCTATTTGTTACTTATCGCCTATTAGTGTTGTAAATAAATTGTATTAATAAAATATATGCTGTTCATTATATCATCGGTTGTGTCAATATTTGTTATACATTATTCAAGTACCACTTATACTATAATATTATAATCTATCTATTTTGTTCTTTTTTAGAAGAAATTGTTGTTATGTTTGATGGAAGTTTTAAATTTTCTTTTAATATTTTATTTTAAACTAAATATTTATTGCAATTTACATTAATTAAATTATTGTCGAAAAGCAATTTACATAAGATAACCAATCTTCACAAAAAAAAAATTCTATTTTTTTAACGATAATAATTCTAAATTGTTAAGCGCATAATTTATACCTCTACATACATTACATTTCATAGGATAAAATTGTTATCGATATTAAATA